TTTAGTCAAAGAATTTGTATTTTTTTAATTAGTTTTAATAAATAGTCAAAATTTTATAATTGACCATGGATATAATATATATATATATATATATATAAGTATAAATTAATTTGATATATTATTACATATAATTTTAATATTAATTTTAAATAAGATTCAACAATATATATTATTTATCATTATAATTTATATCTATTCTTTTTAACAATATAACAACATTTAGTATATTTATATTATTAATAAAAGTAACTTTTAGTGATATCTATGTATGGAGTATGTGTTTCTATAAGACAATTATTTTGAAGTGTAAATTTTGAGTGTTCGTAACTGTTGGTGATTGTATGAGTGATTTGGCAGCATAACTCAGTAGTACAAATTTTGTTTTGTGCTTCATAACGTGCACCTGTTTGATTTCCTACTGAAATTGCATTTTCAGGAGAAAAATGAAGTTGTACTGTATCGATTATATTGCTTGAAAATTTTCTTGTGATTTTTGGAGTTTCTGATGAAGTTTAGAGTTCAGGAGCTAATTGATAGTGCCAATAGTGGTTGGACTTTGATTATAGAACAGTTAAATCAACACACTCACAAGAACCACTATCTAGACATGCCAATATTCTAGTATGAACATGGACTAAAATATATACAACAATATATGACGAAACCAAATTGAAATATAAGATTACAAACATCAGATTATTATATGAAGAAAAAAGGATGGAGTCATATGGACAGAACAAATAGTTTAGGTAAAGGAATTAAAAATAGAAATTATTTTCCAAAAACCTCGGTTCTTCTCCACAAAGTTTTTTTTTTTTTTTTATTCTTGAGAAAGGTTTTTAATAAATTATAAACATTTTCCATAAATAAGAATCCACTTAAGCAACTCGTCACCGTTAAAGAGAAAAGAAAACCGAAAGATCTTAAAAATGGTGTTGTGTATAACTACAAGACCCAAAAAAAAAAATAATAATAATAATAATAACGAAAGCAATTTTATCAAGATACATGCATTAATTGAAGATGTCCCAATTACATCTATCTATAATTGTTTCCTTTTTTGGTACAATTTTTATTAATACACTGATATGAGCACAAGCGCCGCAGCAGGCAGCAAAAGAAACATGACAAAATTTAAGAGTATATTCTTCACAAGTATAAAACAAATTAGACCATTCTTGTATATATCTCTTACATTCACTTAAAAATAAAATATTTTCATGTAATTTAGTGATATGATACTTATCACTAAACTTATCTTAATGAAGATGAGCAGGGTGGGTCAGATTCTCTTGGCGTTTTACATTCCAACATTCATGAGTTAGGGCTAACAAGAGTTACTTTTCCTCAACTACCAACCCATTTGTTTTTGTGGACCAACATTGGAATCTAAAGCATTTGGGCCCATGCTCCGTAGATCCAATAATTGCTACGTACTAATAATAGGTTGAGTTCTGTCCCTAGATGTAAATGCATCAACTGAATTTAGTAGTGAGTTTAATGTATAGGCTTTCTTTGGTTGTCCTACTGTCATGACTGCTTTTGTTTACGTGCCATTTTTAATGTTTCACTTGCAGACATTAATACCCAAAATTAAAAAAATAAATAAATAAGAACTAGCACGCAACTCTTCACCCATGTGTACAGTAGCTGCTGCATCAGCTAAAGCATAAGTGATATATAATATCTTCCATTTGAAAATGAAACAGGCCATGCTTAAAAAGAAACCATCCCTATAGACAATGCTTTATTCTAGGATTTAATTGTTTAAATATTATTTTTTTAATAATTTTTTTTTGTTGAAATATGTACAATAGGAAGATAATAAATTGGAAGTTACAAATCTAAAAAAAATCATCATTCCAAGCTACATGGACACCATAGTTGGGTAGATTTACTTAAAGCATTTAACAATTCGCTATGAGTGACTTAAGTTAGAAACTATACCAGAAAGATCAAGATAACTTGCTTAAGCAAATAGAAGACTTGCTCTTGACAAGAAAAATTCACTCAAAGTGACCAGATTCAAACTTAAAGTGAGTCAAGTCAGAAAGTAACTCGTGAAGATGGTTAAAGCTTAATATATAAAATATTTTTATGATTATTTATCAATTTGAATTAATAAAATATAGTATCAAATAGTTTTAAATTTTTTTAAAATTTTGTATACTTGATTTATGCATTAAAAATTTAAATTTAATTAATAGTTGAATCGTTAAAATTTGATGTAAAACATGAATTATTAAATAAAATAAATTTATACTAATGCTTACTCTTGGAGTAAGTGGTCTGCTCATATATATATATATATAGTAAACTTATTCCTGAAGTAAATAGATCCCTTCTCATATATATATATATATATATATATATATATATATATATATGTATATATATATGAGAGATCTGTTTATTCTGGGAGTAAGTCTACCTAGACTTATTTTATTTAATAACTCATGTTCTATATCAAATTTCAACGATCGAACCGTTGAATTTAAAGTGCTTAATGTATAGAGAAAATATGCAAATAATGAAATAATTTTATAATTATCCGTCAATTTTGAATTAATGAAATAAAGTATCAAATGATTTTCAAAATTTTTAAAAATTTGCAGACTTGATATATACATTAAGAACTTTAAATTCAACGGTTGGATCCACTACAAGGAAATTGCCATATAGTGACACAATAAGTGTCACTAAAAACTACTTTTACCTACACAATAAATATAATACATGTTGGTATATTGTTAAAAAGTGTAGGTATAAGTTATAGTAACACAAAATATGTTATTAAATCTCATTCAAAATCAACACTAAAATTGTGTGTAGTTATATGCCAATTAGATATATACCTACATATATTATACTTATAGTGACACTTTTTGAATGTCAATACATGTAACATTTTTTGTAATGTTGAAATTTGATGTAGAACATGAATTATTGAACGGAGTAAGCCTAAGTAGACTTACTCCTAGAGTAAACGGATCTCTCCTCATGATATATGGAGGGATCCGTTTATTCCAAAGGTAAGTTTAAATCTACTTAGACTTACTTCATTTAATAACTCATGTTTTACATTAAATTTTAACAATTCAATCGTCGAATTTAAAGTTTTTAATGCATTGATCAAGTTTGTAAATTTTTTAAAAATTCAAAAATCATTTAATATTTCTTTTCATTAATTCAAATCAACATATAAAATAATTTTATGATTATCCATTAATTTGAATTAATAAAACAAAATATCAAATGATTTTAATTTTTTTTAAAAATTTACAAACTTAATCTATGTATTAAAAGCTTTAAATTTAACAGTTAAATTGCTAAAATTTAATGTAAAACATATGAATTATTTAACAAAGTATATTTAGATAGACTTACTCTTAAAGTAATAAATAAATCCATTTTATATATATATATATAAGGTTTATTTATTACATGTGGGATAGAAGCAAACACGTTAATTTACATATGCGGTTTCATACTCCGGGCCTCATTCAATAAATGACCATTTCAATTTGAAGGGAAACCACTTAACCAGTTGTTTATTTAATGTAGATTGTCATTTTGTGAGTGTGTGAAGTCCATATAGTGGTTCAACTTTGACTATAGAATAGTTAATAGGTCAACGCACACGCATAAGACCGCCATCTAGACAAGCCAATCTGGCTACTATGAACATGCACATATATACTGAGATTGATAAAACGTACAGTTTAGTCAACAGATTTTTGCTTGAAGAGACAGATATATAATTAATATTGTTTTCCAACAACCACATTCTCTAGATCTATAAATATGGCATAATCATTCTTACTCACTTTGCAGCAATTCAAAGTTATAAAATCAGTTCTGACTCTTAGTATATGAGAAATTTGCAAGCACAAACCATATTACTTAATCATATTACTTACCATGGTTCGTTTTCTATTGGGAAACCTTACACCTAAGATCCTTGTTCAATCACTGAATTCCATGCCTCGCCTAGCTGCATCCCTCAAGTAAATATCTACTTATTGTCTCTTTGCTGCATCTTTTTACCTCAGTTTATGCCATTAATGTTTCAAAAAAAAGTATTTTTTTTTTTTAACTTCAATCAAGCTCTACGAATATCATTTAGAGTAACTTATATATATCAACATATATGAAGAAATTAGTCTGTTTAGAAAGATAGTGTATGCATATGGTCATGTTAAAACACACTACAGTTTTTAAATGGGTAAATATTCCCAGTAGTCTTGGCTATATATTTGGTCCATGAAATGAAATATAAATAATGAAGTTACATGATTGTTGTTTAGAATGGTGAGACGTGGAGGAGCAAGAGGATCAAATCACAGCCATGGAGGCGGTGGAGAGAGAGGGTCAGAAGACCTCAGCGATGGGAAGGGAGGAGAACATAATAAGGTGGTGCTGAAGAATTCAGAATGATGTATAACAGTTAGCAATTTAGCAAGCTGCTTTAAAAGACTAGTGATTTTGAGTGTTCCTAATTATCAGTGATTGTATGAGTGATTTGGTAGCACAATTCAGTAGTTTTGTTTTGTGATTCATAGCGTGAAAGTATTAAAATTATTAACTATTACATTACTTGATAACTTTATATTAAATATGAATTTTGTCAATTCAACTATTAAATTATAATTTAATAATTAAATTTTTAAAATTGAACAACAATTTAAAAATAATTAATGTGTTGATATTTTAGTATATTTTAAAATATATATCACATCAATTTTGTTCTACAAAAAAATAATATTAAATCATCTTGAATTAATATAAAATTTTATACACATGATATAAAAGTAAGAAACTTTTAATCTAACAATAAATTTTAAAAAATTCACATTTAATTAAAAGTTATTGAATGATATAATATACACTACAAAAAAAAATACTCATTACTAACGGACTTTTTTCCACATATAAATATTCATATGAAAAATGACATTATCAATGAATTTTCTCAATGAATATGTGTCTGTTTAAAACATAAACAATTTCGACGGATATTATTCACAAATTTTTTTCGTCTAAAATTTTAGATGGATGTTACCCATAGATTTTCTCCATGAGAAAATTATGATGTTTCAGATTGATATTTCTTACGGATTATCTATCTAAAACGTTATTTGTCAAAAATGTAAAAAAAAAAATTCATCAGTAACTTTAAAAAATATAATGATATAAAAGATTAACAAATTAAATTCTTAAATATTTAACTAATTTTATCATGCTAATGAATTTTCCATACCAATTATATATATATATATAATTTATAATTAAATGATAGTATAAAATAAAATTTTACTATCAATATATTTTAATATTATATATAGTTAATTTTATTTAAATTGAGAAATATATAAATAGTGAAAGGACATTAATGCATGATAGTCTAAAATTAAAAGATAATTTCTTAATATTTATAATAATTTTTCTAATTTTAAACTATGTTATTTTTAATAAAATAAGATTGTTATTTAATATAATTTTTAAATAATTTTTTAAAAATATTATGAACAATACCCACGAAATTATCAACGGGTGTATCCGTCGGTAATTATCGACAGATGTATCCATAGATAATTATTCGTAAGTAACTACCCACGGATATATCTGTCTGTAATTACATATGAATGTATCCATCGATAAAATTGTCAAAAAGTTACCTATGACTAAAAATTTGTCTGTAACTATTTCATATGAGCAATTTATTGATGAATTATAGTTTGTCAGTAATTCGTCATAAACAAAATATTATCTACGAATTTTTTGAGTTACTCACAAAGAATTTTGATCATCTATAATAAAAATTATATTAATATCGTTTAAATCTTTATCAGACATATATATAGAGAAACGGGTAGATTTTTAGTGAATTAGGGAACCTTTAAGAGTTACTACTATAATATTATTGACTATAAAACAAGTTATGGGTTGTTAAAAGAAGACAAAAGCATTGCAAAAGTAGGGGAAATTAAATTCAAAATTTAGGTGCAATTTTTTAAATTTTTTTAATTTTTTAATGAAATTAGAGTTTTATAATTGTAGTTATGCAATAAAAATTTGTATTAAACATCAATATGGATGGTCGACATGAAATCTAATGACGAAAGTAAAATAACATTAAAAGCACATGCATGGCATGAATAATAGTAGTATTTCTATCTTATTAATTAGTTTTGTTAAATAAAGAAAGAATCCTTGGTCAATCGATTATCATTCAAAGTCAAACAACAAGTGGCACTTAAGTTGACCGTGAATCCATCGAATTATAATACGCGTTTCAAGACTGAGTTTGAGATCTTCAAAACAGTGGCATGTTCACACGTACTCTTCATCCACAAACTCCTATATGACGATAGGATCACTACCATTTCTGATATATATGTGATTATATAGAAAACATTGTGAGTTTTATTTCTTTGTTTTATATGTATTTTCTACGAATTAACTTGGTTTCATCGTACTCTCAATAATATGAGGCTTTATTGCGTATATCGAATCGTTGATAATTATATATAGTCATATTCATGTCAAGAATCTTTCGAACTTGTCAAATACATTAATTTGTAACATTTCTAACAATTATAATTTTTTGGAAACAAGGAAAAAGAAGGGAAGGGTAATTTCTCATTGCTAAAGTAAATATTTTTTTACAATAAAAAATAAGTTTCTTGATTAATAAATTAAAATATGTAATATTTGTCTACCCTCAATTCCATATAAATCCAAACTCTCAAACATACCAAAATGTGTAGTCACATATATATATATATATATATATGAGAAGAGATTTGTTTACTCGAAGAATAAATCTATTTAAACTTATTTCATTTAATAACTCAAAATTTAACGATTTAATTGTTGAATTTAAAATTTTTAATGCATAAATTAAGTCTATAAATTTTTTAAAAGATTTAAAATTATTAGATATTTTATTTTATTAGTTTAAATTAACGTATAAAATGATTTAATGATTATCTATTAATTTAAATTAATGAAAGGAAATATTAAATAATTTTTAAATTTTTTAAAAATTTAAAAATTTAATCTAAGTATTGAAAATTTTAAATTTAATAATTAGATTATTAAAAATTGATAAAAACATGAGTTATTGATCAAAATAAATGTATGTAAATTTACTCCTAGAATAATTGAATTTTTTCTCATATATATAATTGTTGAAGAAAAAATAAAAGAAGGATTAAGTAAATAAAATAAAATAAGAGTTAATCATCTATACGCTGCCAGTATAAAGATTTTTACATTGGTAATTAATTATATCTTTTAAATTATCTTATTTTATTTTCATTTTATTAAATAAGTCCATGACATAACACTATTAAAAGATATGATTGATTGTCAATGTAAAAAAATTTTACACTGACAATATATAAGTGTTTAACTCATAAAATAAAGTAGACTTGACGTTGACCAAAGTGTTCAAGCCTTTTTCATAATATTAATTATTTTATAAAAAGGTGAGAAATAGAGGACCACTCAAAGGTTTATTTATTACATGATTAAGAAAGCAGCAAACACGTTTGCATGGTTGATCCTCACGGACCTCATTCAATAATTGACCATTTCATTTCAATTTGAAATGACAGCAACAAGTTGTTTACTTTTACTTGAATTGTCATTTTCCGAGTGTCTCAAGACTCGTGTCCAGCTTGTATAGTGGTTCCACTTTCATTCTAGCAAATCAGTATAGTTAATAAACTAGAATTAAACTCCATGCACACTTATATAATTTTGTTTGTGTATAAAATATTGTTAAGCTTTTAACTTTCTAAAAATTTATGAATATAATATAATTATTAAGAAATTTTACTTTTAACTATTAGATTGATAAAATTCAGTATAAATTGTTAGTATATTAAGTGGAAAAAAAAATCAAAGTAAGTAGATTTCATATATACATAGGTAAAAGTAGATTAAAGTTAAACATAAGATAATACACATACATGGGAATTAAAAAGACCCATTTGAGCAGAACAATACAAAATGTAACAAGATTAGTCAAAAGAGTTAGTTTGAATAAGAAATATTAATTAATTATTTGCCAACAACCAGATTCTCCAGCTCCATAAATTTGGCATAATTCTTTGGCTGATCCACCATAATAAATAAATAATAAATAAAAATTACAAAAATAAATTAATAAAAAAACTATTTTCTAAATTAAATAATTTTGGACATGTCAGATGTGGAAGAAAGAAGAAAACGGTAAACAGTAACGATTTGTAGAAAATGTTACACGCATTCATACTGTTCATACGAAATAAATTAATTAAAAAAATGTCAATGAAAGTAACGAGTTTCAAAGGTGTCAGAAAACAAAAGAAAAACATCATGGCATTTGACATTTTCTTCTCAAATATTTCTCCTTGAGCATCAGATAATGTACACTTCAACTTTACTTGAGCATTAAATTGCATTTCTAGGCTCAACCAAGCTCATGATCACCCTCGTTGTCGTATTCGTAGCTGAAGTTGATTTTTAGCATTTACCTTTGTTTACTATAATACATCCAATCATCAATAGTTTTTGTTATTTTAAAATCAAAAAGACTGCATGTGTATATAAAATATTAATAATTAGATTTTATTTAATTATAAAGATAAAATGATTCTAATTTAATTTATCATGAGAAGGGTTGGAGGAACAAGAGGATCAAATGATTCTAAGTGTTCGTAACAATTGTCAGTGATTGTATGAGTGATTGATTTCCTAGCATAAGACTGTAGTATGATGATGTATTAGTGACTTGCATTATTGAATTAATGTTCACACATATTATTTTTTCCTTCAAATATATAAAACAATATAGTTTAATTAGGATGACCTTTTATATTCGGAGAAAGTATGGATATTTTATTAAAATAATCATAAAAATCTTACTTATCAAAATACACATTTCCCAAATTATTCGCCAATTTTTTTAATAAGAAAATAGCAATTTTATTATACAACTAAACAAGTGTATAATGTATATAAGTTGTGCAAAAGTATAGTCAAACAGCAAAATACATTGTTGATATAATTTCACAATGGCTTTACACCTCTGTCAATTCCCCAACATAAAAATGAAACCCCTTAATACATCAATGGGTAAATAATAGAAAAAATTATTATTTCAAATAGTATTTCAATTGATCAGCCTGCCAAGATTTTTGAATCACCACTTTATTATTGAATCCAGAAGTATCTGGTCATACTTTTTAAAGGGTCATACTTTTTAAAGGGTTGTAACATCAATATAGAAATGCAATATTTAGATAATCTAACTTTAGTCTAAGTCAAAAATCTAAAAAAAATATTTAAAAAAAATTAATAGTATTTATTAGTTGTAAAAACTCAAAGGGAACAACATGTTGGAAGATGAAGAATCTACTAATCATTTTTATCAAGATGAGAAATCGGCTTTGGAGGTATTATTTTTCAATTATGCTTGAAAGTTAAAATGATTCATTGTGCAAAAAAAAAAATCAAATTATATTACATCAATGTAAATCACTATATGTTGAATAAAAGTTTAAATAAAATAATTTAATAATATAAATGCACTAAGTGTCGCCATGGGTAA